TTTTTACTTTTGTGACATTCAACACAAAAGTAAAAATCAGATTTACTTCGTGGCACTTAGTTACCAGTAGAAAACCCTAAACTCTTAACACCAAATTAATTTTTCTGTGTTTTTTTAGGGTAGAATAATAGGTGCCTTATGTGCATTGCATGGAAGCATTGAAAAACAGTGTAAACATTGGTGTTCGTGCTGACAATGATGGACTTTGTTTATTACAGGTTACTTCTGAAAGTGTTTGATTTCACTCGATTTTATTTTGGGGTATCTGAGAAACACCCCAAAATAAAATCGAGTGTACTGAAATGCACCCCAGATTTTTCAGTTAAAAAATAAATAAGTAAAATGATAAGATTATTTTGATTTCCCAATAAAATATCAGGCTGCAGTGATTTGATCTACCAATTAAATTATATTACGTTACCAATAGGAGAAACAAACTATGGCACAGTTCAAAGGGTGTAAATAACAGTATTTTATTGACTACTCCATTGCAGTGATGGAGAAAGACTTTATAACTGCAGATTACATCAATAGGCAGCTTAATGAAAGCCAGGAATAAAATAAATTAAATAAAGCTTGCCGTAATTTGCGATGAAATAAAACATATGAAACGAAACTTCCACAGGTAGGACGTATTTATAAGAAATCTGCTGAGTAAGCAGTATGTGACGTAGCATCGATGTGTGCATGCGTCCGCCATATTGAATGTGGAATATGTGTCAGTAAGCTAATACAGGTAAATGAACCGAACTTAAGAAACTGCCGTTCGATAAAGTATTTTGAGTTAATTCCTGTCATTGACACATTTTCTCACACATTAATATATTTGGTAATCAGAGAAATGACTAAAGAGAGTTTCTAACTTTTGATGTGATTATTTAATTGTATCGGGGGATTTCTGAATAAAGAGCACAATGTTTTTATTTGATAGAAATGATTCTGATCATTTTTATATTAACATTGATGAACAGACACTTTTACAGTGTTTAAAGAACATATTTACATAATTCCATAATTTACTGTACATTTAACATTTCAAGACAAGAAACAAATAATTTTCTTGTATTTATTTTTTATACATTGAGAAATGACTTTTGACTTATAAATCAGTCATTGTCAAACATTAAACTACATATTTTTCTTACTTTTTTCCAGAGAAAAATATTTATTACAGGACGTCAACTAGCAAAGAGTGAAAATAATTCTAACAGAGTAAATTATTCTTATTTCATTACATAAACTGTATTAATACACTAATACTTCAGATTGAGATATTTAAAATACACACAAAGTGAAATAAAACATTTATTTATTATACTGGGAACACTGGTAACAGGCTTCAGTCTGCTGGTCACACTGGGAGAACTCAATGACTTTTGAGACGTCCTGGTTCACAGGGTAAAGCCAAGGATAAAAGAGAAATTATCCAAAAGTGAAATAGAAAATACATATATATTTCCTTCACATTCAGAAAAAGACATTTTCAGCATGTTGGGCTCTGACTCGTAGCATCTTTATAGCTAAATACCAACATGGTGAAGCTGAGCTGGGAAACAGAGACTGAAGAACAGCAGCTCCAGCTCTGATCCTGACTGATCTTTCCTCACAAAATCCCCTGGTTTTTAATTAACTTCTCCTCTAACAGCGGTTTCTCATCACCTCTCTCTCTCATTAGAAAACAGTATGAAAACGTTAGCTGCTACGCTAACAACCAGCAGTTACTTCGGGCCAATTCAGCTACATAGGAAATATTTTTAGGTTGTTTAGAAGCGAATTTCTGGCTGCAAAGTCAAGTAATTTTGATCTTTCATCCTTACCTGTGAAAGGTAATGCCAGTGAATCCATTTTGTTGCGTAAAACGGTTGAAACAAGTCCACACAGCACAGGACTTAAGGAGCTCCGATCGCTCTGCTGCCACATAGAAGATGGCGGGCGCTGTTACGTACGACTCAGGGCTCCATGAGGGGTCTACGTATTGATGTCTATGGCACTGATAGTCAGTGCTTCCGGGACAGATCGTGCAGTGACGACACATAGAAATGAAGACGTAGATGTCGCCTCTAACATTGAAAGCATACGTCAGTATCGCCCCCTTTGTGTCAGGTGGACACAGCTCCCAGTGGTCCGGACCAATGCAGCTAAGCACCGACAAAATCCAGATTTCAGCTTTTTTTGAGCTTCTTATTAAAATTTTCGTATTGAAATTGTTTTAATTTCAATACGACCTTCCTGCTTTCTTCCGCTTTTATAATTTAAATATTTTATTTAACAGCCTTTTGATCCATCATGTATTATAGCAACTCTCCGGATTCCAGAGTCAGATTAAGTTAACAAGTAAAATAAATAAATAAATAAATAAATAACGGCTCGACTGATAATTGTATTTTGGGATTTTGCTACCTCTAAGGTAGAATATTACAGAAATAATATGTGAAATATTTATGTGTAATCTATGAATATATAACGTTCACATTTCAAAAAGTAAATTAATTTTTCCTTAATATTCTAACATTCTTTCTTTTTACTTTTTTAAATCTTCCCTTTTTTCCTATGACTTGAGGTTTAAGTATGTTTAATGTCTATGTTGTGAGCGTGTGCAATCAAATTTAAATTCTTTGTGCACACAGGCTAGCCAATCAAACTTATTAATTTATATAATTGGTTAGGTATGTTTTTTTTCTTCTTTTTTCAGTTCTTGTTAGAATTTTACATGAAACACGGCTGAAGTTGCAACAAATTAAACTGCTAAAAGCCGGTTGAAAAAGGAGTGATTGAAGTTGGATAGTTCTCCGCTGAGTGTATGCAGTTTACATAAAAAAAAACGGCAGCCGTCGAGGCAACATCTCTGTGTGTATATCTATGTTTGTGCTGCTAACGACAGAAGCTAAACCTTTAGTTCTCTGCGAGACGGTCAGAAGCAGTAGCCGGTCACCGGCTTTTGGCTGGAAGAAGGGAGGCAATTTGAAAACAGCACAGTTCAAAACGAGAGAAGAGAAAATGGACAGGGCAGTCAGTCTCCCCAGCCAACCAGAAAAGGTCACCACAGGTAACACCTTTACTCACTTAGTGCGAAAGATGAAGAAAACGTTTATTCTGCGCCGAATCAAAAAACAAAACAAAAAACATGTGACGAGATATCGATCTGCGTCGTCATATAATTACTGTATTATATTTGGTCGGAGATAGTTGCTGATATTATTTTTGGTGTAGCGAAACTGTCAGTAGGTATTACATGAGCGTAAAGCAGTGACAGAGTGGTTACACAAGCCTGGATCACCATTGACTCCCAGCTGTTAAGAGGTTTAGGAGCTCTGACTCCACAATAAAACTTCATAATTTTAGGGTCCACTCGGAACCCTAAAATTATGAAGTTATTAGGGTTCCGAGCCCGCGGAAGCTGACGGGCGGCCACTGCAAGGAACCCATGATAATTGCTTGCAGTTTTAGTAACAAAATTACATTTTATTTGATCAAATACTACACTGTAGGAATGTTTTTATTGCTACAGTGTAGTAATAAAAACACTGTAGCAATATTACGTTATATTAGTTAAATCCTGTTTAACTAATATAGTTATTGATCCCAGTATTAAACAATGTTATTTAAAGAGTAAGAACACTGAAGCGAACACGTTGTTTCATAATATGAGTTAAGAATTTTTTACTATCTGTGTAGATGTCATCTTTGCGTTATGTTACTTGGTCTTCTTCCTTGACATTCAGTCACATTACATTATGTCAAATTCAATTTTTTTTTCTATGTGAACTGTACGATTATGGTTCGTTCTATGTGAACCAATTCACTTGCAAAAAATAAATCATAAAATCAGGGATTACCAGGATTCTGTGACAGTCATGATGTGACCTTGCTATGTGTGTTGTAGTGAACCTGGTTGAGACCAGCACGGCCCCCAGTGGAATGGAACTGGTCAGCTCCTATCAGACCAACAGAGTGGGAGACCCCATGGACCTGGTAGCCCTTGCGGAGCAAGTGCAGAAGGTGAGGTGTTTCGTCAAGTTGTCTAGCTCACAATAAAGTTTTTTTTACTCCTGAAGTGACGTGGGTGTTTCTCAGGGGGACGACTTTATTAAAGCCAACGCTTGCAACAAACTGACAGTAATCGCTGACCAGATCAGGTACCTGCAGGAGCAGGCCAAAAAGGTATGACTGTCAATTCATAAAATAGCTGGGTTTATGTTCAGACGGGTCACATTCACCCATCGGATGGTGCGTGGCATTGATCGCTGATTGACTATCGCAGGTTTTAGAAGAAGCAAAGAGAGACGCTGACCTCCACCATGCTGCCTGTAATATTGTAAAAAAGCCAGGCAACATGTACTACTTGTACCAGCGGCCATCTGGACAGAAATACTTCTCCATCATCTCCCCTAAGGTTGGTTCCATGAAACGTAAGCTTCGAGTTATGTCACCTCCACTCATTATGTGTATTATCTAACGCACCCGGAGGGGGAGTCTGTAGGAAGCTCATATGAATACCAAACATGACTCAGCAGTTCTGTGTGTGTGTGTGTGTGTGTGATGTCACAACAGTTGCAGTCCAAAATTTGAACTGTTGGCAGCGAGTTTCTGTCGTTATTTACCAGGAGAGTTCAGTATTGTTTTAGCAGCTGCTTACATTTCACCCCCAGCTGTTGCCAACAAAGGATGTGAAGTCATTGGTTCAGTTGTTGCTAAGCTACAGACGTGGCACCCCAATGCGTTTCCACTAGAAGGAATTAGTAAATGCATAAGAGACATTGTGCAGGAATAAGTAACTCAGAGCGACAACCCTTGAGTAAAATTTGTCAGTGGACAAAATCTCACGTCCAATTAGCAGCTGAATTTTTATTAGGTTAGCATGACAGTATTTTGATAGTCATCTTGTTTTATCTCTATCTGGCTTACTTGTTTTCCATTTTCCATTGAAGGAGTGGGGACCAAGCTGCCCTCATCCGTTTCTTGGTGCATTCAAGCTTCAGCATGACATGTCCTGGACTCCTGTGGATGAGGTGGAAAAGAGGGACGCAGAGATCGCCGCCATGAGCAAACTGCTCAGCCACCAAACAGCCCTACCTCCATGTACAGGACCCAACTTCAGAGGTCTAGACGAATAAAGTCTCGTTTAAACTGGACCAAAAGTATGATTGGTATATACAGATACATGTCCCACGCAGGGACTAAAAAACTGCTATCAGTGAGTCACCGATTTGTCTTAAGCTGCCATAAATGCATAATGGCGTATTTTTAAAGAATGTGTGTTTTTCATTTTCTGGAAAATATCAAACCGGGACTCAGGAGAGTGTGTGTGTTTAACTTAAACTGTTTGGAATGTTTTTACTGTGCTTGTATTTGACCAATCATTAACACAAGCCAATGATTTACATCGGACAGCCTCTACAGCAGTCGTACATCAACGCACTTTGGAGACGGAGAACAACTTCAGAGAATAGAAAAGGTGCAGTTTGTAAGTCTATTTCTTTCTGGAATTCTGTTCGAAAAGTAAAACTCGTGTTACACACAATTCATTAAACACAGAGAAATGCATTTCAAGTGTTTACTTTTCTTAATTTAATTTCTGGTATCAAGTTGACAAAAACCCCAAACGGAGTTTTTCAAAACATTGAAAAGTTGCATCAGGCTAATAAAACCAGATTTTCTTACAGAAGCATCTGCACTCAGCACTTGGTTAGGACTCCTTTTGAATGAAATACCTCATCAATGCGCCGTGGCGTGGAGGCAGTCAGCCTGTGGTTCTGCTGAGGTGTAATGGACCTTCATCTCTGCTAGTTCTGGTTTGTCTTATTCTTCCCAAAAGCCCATAGATTTTCTGTGGGGTTCAGGTCAGGCCAGTTTGTTGGTGTTAAAATGGTCGTTAAACCAGCTTTTGGTAAGTTCAGTAGTGTGGGCAGGTATCCAGTCCTGCTAGAAAATAAAACCGGCATCTCCATAGAGCTTGTTGGCAAAGGGAAATGACTGCGGACTTCAGAAAACCCAGTGAACCAACACCGGCACACGACATGGCAACCCGAATCACCTGTGAAAACTGCAGAGTGGAGTCTGTACCTCTCCACTCTTCCCCCACACTCTGGATCTTGATTTCCAAATGAAATACAAACTTTACTTTCATTCGTTTTGCGATGTAAAGGTCTTTGAACTGCCCTGTTGCTGAAATGTGCTGTACAAATAAACCTGATTGATTTCAATTGATTGATCTGAAAGGAAAACTTTGGACTACCAAACCAAAGTATAGTTCTTTTTCTCCAGGTCAGGTAAGGCACTTCTGACTTTTGTCTCTGGCTCAGGACTGGTTCCATACAACGAACTGTGTTGATCTGGAATCAGGCTGGAGTCTGAGATTTTTCAATGAGCTTTGCTTTCCAGTTCTCTTACATCTGCAGTATGTAACTGTTCTATTAAAAAAACAAAATTTAAATTTTAGGGCTGTCGACGTTAATGCGTTCTGAAAATTTTAACACTTTATTATTACATAATGCAGATTAATCAAAGAACCTACTTTGACCTGAGCCTAAATTTCAAATTCCCCCCATTTTTAAATTTGCATTTACAAAAAAAAAGGTAGTCCTCTGAAGAGACATTACTTGTACGTACAAAACCAAAAGGAAATTAGAGAGCCGACTGACACTTCCCCCAAAATGAACCAACTCTTTACTACCATTTTCTTATTAATAATCTAATATTCTTGCATGTTGAGGTTAACATAAGGTTCCCAGTTTGGACCATAGGACTGTAAACTTTTTCATCTCTAAATGGTCTGAGAATGTTAATCTTTCCATCTCATAGATGTCATTAACACATTCTGTCCATGTGTTGTGGCGTGACTGTCGGCTAGACCATTTCTGCGTTAATACTTTGATTGATTTAATGTAATTTATTTGGCACCAGTGGGGTTTGATAGTAAGGGGGCAGAGAGGGGAAGACATGCAGCAAAGGAACCGAAGATGGGAGTCGTACTCGCGACGCCCCCGATGTAATTATTATGTTTTTTTAGTTTGAACAGATCAAGAGTATTTTATTATGGAGAATTAATCTAAACTTGACTTTCTGAATCAGCAAAGTAAGGAAACTTTTCAAACGTAGTCAAAAGAAGACAATAAATTTAACTTGATATATTTATGAAAAGATCATCAAAGTGCAATAGTCTAATTTCATATCAATTATCTGCTTTTTTACGTTACACTGAAAAATTTCCATGTTAAAAGGATTATCTTCGGTATAAAAAAAAATGTGATCACGAGACAGAATTCTCTAGTGAAGAAGTGACTTTCAGCAGGTATGAGTTCATGTGAGGAAGCAGCCGACAGTCATCGGTGGCCATGTTGAAGTGCGCGGCGTCCTCCGTAGAGCTGATCTTAAGCAGGATGTGAGACTTCGGTGGGAGAAACAAGAGCGCCCTGAACTCGGCTGACTCCTCCAATGGGTCTGACACAAGGAAGGAGTGGAAGTGTTTCTCCACCAGAGCTTTCAGAGCGGCCTCCCCCAGCTGGCAGCAGAACAGACTGATACAAGACTCTCCCGTCTCATGGCTCATTTCATCCCACAGGCCCTCAAAGACGTCTCGTATGCTAGCGCTGCTCCAGGTTGGGGGTGCAGGCAGAGGCAGGAAGACCTGCTGGAATGCCACGTGGATGTCCGGCATAGCGGTGTGCCAGGAGAGCCCGTCCTTAGAGGTGAATATGGCGCTCACATGGATGGTGGTTGGGTACGGTCGTCTGGGCTTCAGTGTCAGCTGCACCACGGGCCGTTGTCCCTGTCTGAAGAGACAGGGGACGCTGATGTCCTGCAGCTCTTCGTAGTGATCGTCTGTGTGGCTGAAGTGGAGCTGGATGCTGAAAAGCTGCTCAAAGCCAGGGTCATGGGGCTCCGTGTGGGTCAGGTGGTACTTTAACACGATAAGTGAAGCAAATCCAGACTTGCTGAGCTGAGCCCTGTAACATTCCAGTGTTTTGTACTCATCCTCCTGATTCAGCTGAAGGTTTTCTGCCTCCTGATGTGGCCCAGGTAAAGCCTCGGTCAGATGAAATATGGGTTTCTCAGTCTGGTGGACGGTCAGGTTGTTTGTCAGCCCCTCGCTCTCCGCCATGACACAGGACAGCGTTCGCTTCTTGACTTGACTGCCGCCCTCTGCAGCACTCTGCACCAGCACTGCGGACAGCTTCTCCCGGGACAACATGGTGAGGAGCGTGTAGTAGAGGCGGGCGTGGTCCCTGATGTCCGTGTCACCATAGTGGAAGGCAAGATGCTGCAAAATGTCTGCCAAAGGAACAAGTATAGAGTCCAGATTGGGATGGAGGAGCACACGGCGGCAAACTCCCAGCAGACCATTTCCCAACCGCCAGTCGCCGCTGGTACACAGCGACGAGGAAGTTTGGGTGACAATGGTGGACAGAAAGCTAAGGGAGCTGCGCTGACAGATTTCTTCTTCCTCTGCCACCCGAGCCAGCACCTTAAGGTGGCTGCTAAGGTCTTGTAGGCGGAGCTGGCCAAACGGGACCTTGGTTATCACTCTCTGGAGACCCTGCAGGAGCCCCACAAACCACTTGCACTCCGGTAACCTCTCTTGAGTCTGGTTGACCAGATTGAGGATATGTGGGGCCAGCCGGGTGTGCTGGAGGAAGAGATGACATAGCTGCTCGCTAAGGCAAGTTGCGTACCGTTCCACATGGTGGAAGTAAAACAGGAAGAGGAAGGCAGCTCTGAAAAAGGTCACAACAATATCTCTGCTGCCTCCCCTGTCCACGATGTGCAGCAGCGCCGCAAGGTGGTCGTAGATGTAGGCCAGGCCGAGGCTCTCCTCGTCCCCCTCTTCCAGGAAGACCAGAGCCTGCAGGTTGAGCCGGCTCAGCAGGGTGGCGCTGTCATTAAACACCGAAGGCAGCAGGACCGAGGCCAGTCGTGGGGTCAGCAGCACAGGAGGGGCCTCGTCGCAGTCACCACAGCTGATTGGACGGTTCTCTGGAAAGTGCAGGATGCAGTCCATGTAGAAGAGCTTCTCGGGCGAGCTCAGGAGCGGGTGCTGGGAGAGGACTACCAGGCGCTTCAGGAGGAACGCTTCGTCTTCAGCGCTGAAGAGGCTGTCGGTGAAGCCGCACTTCATCAGCAGGGTGACATGGAGGAGGCAAACCTGACGGTGTCAACAGCAGAGGGGAAAACCTGGTCAGCAGTTTTAGGAAGTCTTGGTGCTGCTAACTCAAAGTCATGCCATTTCAGACAAAACCAAAAATGATGCAAGTAGTTAAAACCATTCCAGCAATGGACTCTAAAAGAATGTTGACGCACAGCTTAAATTTAAACTAATTTACGGTCCCTGGCAAACACACCAACAACCCAGCCTATTTTATATGACATGCCAACACAAAGTAGTGTAAAATTATAAGCTAGGAGGAAGCTTATAATTTCCTCCCAGCAGATTTGTCTTTTCAGCATTAAAAAGAAAAATCTGAAAGATGTAGCATCCCACTTTACTTTGAAAATAATCCCTGAACACAAACCTCGTTGGTTCCCAGCAGTCGCAGGAGCTGAGCTCGAAATACGGTTGGCGGGATCCCGGGAACCATGGCAACCACCTCGGTTAGTCTGTGGAAAAGTGCAGCCTGACACAAAGGCGTGAAGAGGTAGGACTCTTCTAATAGGGAGGAGAGGACAGACCGTAGCTCCTTACAGTCGGGTCCGGTGTGAAGGGTCGGCACTCTGCCCATTGGTCCTAGGATGAGGGACAACAGCATGGCTGCATCCTTGGTGTCCATGTGGACGGCTTCCTGGTCTGCCTCCCACGCAACGGAGCCATTTCCTCCTAACAGAGCTTTAAGATGCGCAGCGCCTGCACCTGGTTGCTTAGTGAGCTGATAAACAGCATTTCTCAACACCAGGATCTGCAGCACCCCAAAAGCCTGATGCAGCCTGGAGGTCTCCAGCTGCCGCAGCCCTGCCAGGAGCTCGAGGCGCTGGGAGAGAAGTCCGGGACAACTGGCCTCCATCTCGCGCAGGCAGTCGCAGGCCGTTGCTCTGAGAAGGCGCTGTGTGCCATCGCCAGGGGGGTCGCTGGCGTCCTGAGCTATCCGAAGGAGCAAGTCGAGAAAGTCCAGCGAAGCTCGGGAGCGGCTGTTCACACAGGAGGAGCAGACGAGGACGCTGGTGAGGGCCACGAGGAGACGGCAGCGAAACTGGCTGAACCTGGAGGGACACTGGGTGAACACCGACATCAGATCCAGGGCTGTCTCCTCGCCGGCAGATTCTGAGGAGCACAGCAGGGTCGGATATTCACAGAGGGGAGACAACAGGAGGACCTGGGAGGGACAAAGAACACAAGGGATCAGAAACTCTTATGAGAAACATCAATATGCGATTAGGAGCAAGTTCAGGATAAGTGGAGACAGCACAATTTTATTCCCAGACATCTCCCCATGGTCATTTTGAACCTTTGCAGAACATACAGTGAATCTGAAAGTGTAAAGCCTGATAATGCAGCTTGTAAGACCACAATAAACGACCCAAGTCTATGGATTTCACAGGATCAATGTTAGCCCCGCCCACTGACTTCCTGCTGGGTTCGAATGGTTAAATTATTTCATGACACTTACACGGGAGCAATGGAATAAATAAATACGGAGTAAAATAATTACATACATTTTTAATACATATTTTCTTTAAAAAGAAAATTTTATTATTTAAATTAATTATTTAAAAAGATTAATTTAATTCATTCGACATTTAATTATTTAATTGCAAATTTCATAATTTCATGATATATTGAGTCACTCAATGTATTTAACATTTGATGATACGTTTATCTAGTGGCAAATTTAATTATTTAATGATGTTTTTTTAAATAATTTTATAATTAATTAATTACTGGGAGATTTACACATTTTCATGGTATATTTATTTATTTGCTTAATCTTGAAACATCTAACCCTGCATATGGATTAACAGTCATCTTGAAATCTTAACTTCTTCACTTCTAAATGATCATGTAAAAACTTATGGAAACTAAACGTCTAAATCAGTGGTTCTTAACCTTTTTTGAGGTACCAAACCCACCAGTTTCATATGCGCATTCACTGAACCCTTCCGTAGTGATAAATGAAATATGATTTTTTTTTCCTCCAAATTCAAGACATAGGGGTGCCCCAACTAGAGTCTAGTTGGGTCACCCCATGATCACTAAGTCTTCTTAAAAGGTAGAGTCTCTGAGAACAGTTCTTCAAAATATAGTCAGTGTTTTCAGAAAGGTTGAGCTGACTGTCCAGGAACGAGCCAAGGTATTTAAAATTTGCCACAGTTTCAACAGGTGGCCATCGAGAGAAACTGGAACCACTTTAAGGTCTTGTTTAGATCATTTAATTAGCTCTACATGCTTAAGAGAATGGAAAATTAATAATAAATAATAAAGACTTTCCGGTATTCTGATTTAGCAATGTAATTATATTAGTTGTGTTACCGCCTCCATATATTGTGGTTATAGCATTGGTGATCCTTTGACCTTTAAGTTAAAAATGTTAGTTTGTTGTCACCTCTTAGTAATTGGGAGAAATAATTTCCTGAAAATAACAGAAAAACATCCTGGATAAGTATTATGAGTTACTGTGTGTGTTTCTCCAAACATCCACAGTAAAATATGAAATATTTATTCTGGACACATATGTATGTAAAAGAAATAGCTTTGCCAAACATATTTTTATGATATTTATGCTTCTCCTTTTCTTTTCATTCCTGTTTTTTCGCCTGCAAGGGACCTTCTAGTATTCGGTAAGAAAGAGGCTGGCTTGACCGCAAAAACTCACGTCCATGTAATTGGCCTTTTTAGTGTTGAAGCCAAATTATCCAGCCATACAAACTGTAATGTCTAAGTTTGTGCTGTTCTAACCTTGATTCCGTAGCTGGCTCTGTCATCCCGCAGCTCTCGTAGCAGCTCTGACAGGAAAGTATCCGGGCTTGTTTCTGACAGGAAGCCACTTGGACTGCAGCAGAAAGCACTAATTCTCTCCGTCCAGTTTGTCGCCATTTTTGTTAAAATAAGACTCTAATGCCTGCGTGTGTTTACACCAGAAAATCCCTTCAAAGTCATCGTACCCAGGAATTTCTTTACATTAAAGACAACCCTAAGATTACTCCCGTGTTGGGTCACGTGCCTATTAAATACCCACAGCGCCCCCTGCAGTGTCGGATGAGGGGCTTTTTAGTAGTGTACTTGTTTGTTTTATTAAATAGAAAATTTAATAAATGTTACCAAATCAATCAATACATCATGAAATATGTTAAACCAATATACTCTGTACCGTATTTTTTTTTTAAATTAGCACCTAGAAACAGTAATTTATTTTGTAATTGTCATACCACAAGGAAATTTTGGACGGAATGTTTCAACTTAGACTATGTCATTGTGATACAGAAAGCAGAACACAAAGAAAAAACAAAACTAAAGTAGCAATAGGGATATACGATAACATCCTTAAGACATTGTAACTTGCGCAATAGGATCTTTTTTCTTTTCTTCCGTCATGCGGTTCACACTTCTTACCAGTTGGTGGCGGTAATGCGTCCTTCTCTTGTTTGCCAACCGCCAATACATTAAAGAAGAAGAAGGAGGAGTATATGAAAAAGAAGGCGCCAATATCGTATTGCCAGCGGAGTGACAGTTGATTTTGAATTTTTTTTAGCGATGACTGAAAACACCTTTCCTCTCCATAACGCGGACGCTATTGTTAATTTCTACCGCAATGAGGTTCTCACCGGCCAGGAGGCCAAACAGTTCACTAAAGGAGACCTGACCCCGGTTCCCAGGGTAAGCTGAAAGTTTCATTATTAACATTGCTGTCTGACTCTGAGCGGAGACGGAGCTGTGAACTAAAGTTAACAAGCTGCGGATAAGTTGGTTTGAATTTCAATATTTGACGGTCGTCTTTCATACCGTGTTGTGCAACAACGCGTTTACCCCGACTCTGAAAACTGCGGTTTAGTGAGACCACTAAAAACCCTTTCGACTCGTTTGAAACATGTACACCAAACAATAGATTCTTTTTTGGTCCTTGGGTCATGTCACTCAAATCAAAGCCGAATTGTGGTACAACGTTAGCTTGACCGTTGCCTTCTTGCACAATTTCGCTCGATTCAAATGTCTATTTACAGTTTAGTCTGGGCTTTCTTCCATTGACTTGGATTCCTCCGGTAGAATTTCAACGCCATAATACAGACCAGACCTTTCCTGCCCACAGCCAATCACCGTCTACAATAACTTTCTAATTAAATGAGTTACAACATTTAATTTCCCCTTTGGGATGGATCAATAAAGTATTTTTGAATTGGCTTGTATATGACGGTATATGTGTTGAGGAGAAACAAATGACCGAATTCAAGTTAGTTTGGAGTTTCTTCGAACCTCTTTTTAACTATTAGTGACTACTATTAGGAGGATGGCAGATTTATTGCACTTCAAGTTTTTCTTATTTTAGTGACTATTTGTTCTAAAAACAAATATCCAAATACTTATGACTTAGAAGGTGATCAAAGTAAAAGTTAATTAAACTTTTACTTTGATTCAACTTTATAAACCGTGAGTTTCTGGTTTACACCGTTTTTTTTGTTGGTTTCTTCCATAGTTCTAGGCACAAAAAAAATGTTACAAGCAACACAGAAGCCCTTGCTGTATTGTTTGGCTACCTGATTGTCTCACTTGCTGAACCTCTGACTAAGTGGCAGACTGACTGTGACTGGTAAATAAAATAAATCTTTGACCACCCATTTGCATACAGAACTTCCTAAAACTTATGTATTTATACATGAAACACCTGTGTCCCAAACTGAAATTCAGTGACGAATTAAACAAATTACTAGCCAAAAAGCTCATTCTAAACAACTAAAATTAAACAAAAAATTCTAATTATAAATCAACCAGAAACTAAACAAATTAATAAAATAAATGAAATAATCTTAAGTCCAAGATTTAACTGACAGTAGAGAAATGGCTCAAACTTATCTTAATTACTTATTTTGTTGTCTTGTATTTGGATGCCAGGGTGGTACTGCCATTTTGAAATCGTTGAGCTCGGCCCAAACTCTATTCCTATGATGTGTACTTAATGTTTTTGTCTTTATCTTATTGTGTCTATTTCTGCCCTCAAATAATTTTCTTTAGGGGGACAATAAAGTGTGTGTGTGTGTGTGTGTGTGTGTGTGTGTGTGTGTGTGTGTATATATATATATATATATATATATATATTATATAACTGTATCTGAGAGTTTTTTTTTTTTTAAATCCCACAAGAAAAAATTGGTATTGGCTAAAGTCGGAACTGGCAGGTCAGGCTTTTTTAAAGATCATTAATCGGTACAACCCTTCTTATAAGCTAAGTTTATTGAAGTGCACATCTGTATCGTAGGTCTGCTATCTCATTCTGGACAACAGAATCCAAATGAAACAGAATTCTGTTACATTCGGCTCCCTATAATCAGGAGGAGCAGAGGACAAAACTGCAGCGTAGATCTGGGTGGGCATGGTCCATTATGTTACTAATTCAGGTTTCAGCTCCTCAGAATCCAGTGTTTTTCTGCTTCTTTGTATTTACAGCCAGAAGCAGTTCAGACGCTGTACATGAGAATCCTACATCTCCTGTACCGCTTCAGGCCTGAGTGCCACTCCATGGTGAGACCTCCGTTTTACCCGTAAACATTTTATTACGTGCTGCTTCCACTTTCTATGTAGCGGAATCTTGAGTATTTCCCCCCCTCCTCCGAGTCACGGCTACGTATTTGCTTTGTTTTCCAACAGGTTCCCCTTTTGGAGAACATCCAGTATCCGGGCTACCATGAGGGTGCTACTGCCATAATGAGTGTCTACACACGCATGTGGGATTTATTTTCTTTATAATTTGTCAAATTTAAACACCTATGTGTCAGTGCAGAAACTAAGACACGATGTTGCTAACATGCTTGAAGTGTAAATTTATGAAACGGCTGAGCAGTTGGCTCCACTTGTCTGTAAGATCTCACACATGATTCTTAAAATGTGATTTTGTTTTTTGTTTGTTTTTTAGGAGGCAGTTTCTACCGATGTGCCTGGTGTATGATTTTTCATTGAATGACCTTCTGGCTCCAAGTAAGTAAGCCTTTCTGCAGGCTGCAGCCAGCACATTCCTGTTCTCTTCCATAACTACGAATTACAAATTAGGAAAGCATGCATTATGTTTTAATATTGATGAATGTTGCGTTAATGATATAACTTGTGATAAATGACCAAATAAGTTCAAGGCTTCCCCCAGAAAATTTGCCAAATGTTACAGCAGTCCATCTTGTTTCTGTGTTAGAAATGTTGTAAGTTGGTAGGAAATATGAAAATATGATTAAGTATTATCAATAATGTCTTCCAATAACTTAGGGTGCGTTCACACTGCAGCCTGAAATGAACCAATTCCGAATTTTTTTTTTTTTTTTTTTTTTTGGACATGATGCTGCCTGTATCTGATCTCTTCATGACAGTCTGAACAACACAGGCCGGATTCTTTTCAAATGCGGCCCAGGCCATTTGGGTATCCAATTCAAAAGTGACCTAACGTCCAGGTTGTGTTCATCCGACCTGAATGTCACCGATACTCGACAAATGTCACTATTCTGCTTCCTGATATGAGCAAACAGGAAGAAAACCAACAACCATGATGGACTGTAATGAGGGTTAAGTTGTTAATAAGCTGCTCAAGTTGGACAACAGCTTCAAAATCGTAAGATGCTCCACCGTTAGAATCCATGTTTACTTCTGCAAACACTGAGAACGCCGACGTTATTCCGCCCTTTTACTGCGCATGCGGGACACTTTCAGGTCGTTTGCCCTGTTCACACTGGAGTTCACATACAGGTCGCATATGTTTGGAAGTATGAACGGCCACAGCAAAAAAAAACAAAAAACGATTTGACAAAAATCGGACTTGGATCACTTCAGGCTGCAGTGTGAACGCAGACTTTGGCACCAACTATAGTCTTAAAAAAGGGGGGGGCAAAATACAATAAAAAAAATTCTAATTAATTATTTGCACTTTACATTCTAACAAAGTAATCAGGCAGTGTATGGTAAAACAAAGTATGGTCACATTTAAGTATAAAATTAATTAAAATAAATATTACTTATTATTGACAATGATAAATACTTCTATGCTTAACTAAATATTCTTGAGGTACAAAATTCTGTTTCCTGTGAAGAGAGCGACATCGTCCTCTTTTTGATGGGACCTGTACTACAACAGTGAAAATGGTCCAAGCTGACATTATTAGTTAATTGATTGGAACTAATTTTAATCTAATTAACAATTGCAAGTAGATTAATTGTTTGCATCCCTATTTTACAAAGAAAAAAATCTTCACATAAAATGACAATGAGATTTAATGTAGCTGTAACAACAAAATTGGGGAAAATTTCTAAACGGTGATGTATAGTTTTGTAGGGGACTGTTTTCATGATTAATCTGGTGGTAATGTTAGTCTTGACCCAAGGTGATCGAGTGTTTTTTTTTTGTTTTGTTTTTTTTTCCAGAAAAACAGAAGACACTGGTCATTCTGAGTGCCATCATGAACTTTCTTCACTTCAGGAAGGAGAGGATGGTGTTGATGCTGGAAAAACAGGCCAAATTTGTATGTTCCATCTGATCCATAACACAAATAATCAATTTCATCCATACAGAAATGATCTATAATGCACTGTACTGATATTTGATGTGACTGACGGACATAAAGTAGTGCAGAGCGGTGATGTTATGAAGCAGATATATGGGTTTCAGGTTGTTTTTGATATTGTACAAGTGCTAATCTGAAAAGTGTGGCTTTCATTTTTTTGTTTCAGATCTGTCGGGTAAGTATTAAGTATGGGCAGCATGAGAAATTTATCACAATATTGTGTGGTAACTATTGCAGTAATACTAATGATAGAATATATCAAAACATTTTTTGGTCTTTGGCAACAGATTGTATGAGTGGGACAGAACATCACTGCCACCAAATGGCCTACTTCAGGAAACCAGCTGCATAAATTACCTAAATTTTCTTGCCAACTAACACACAATTACTTTATTTTGTCATATTTTAAAAAAAGAAAGAAAAAAAAGTTAATACACACCTGCTTCTCATTGTCATGAAGTCCAGTCCTTAAGAGTTACTGTCCAGAAATTTTACGATGCAGCTCTTCTCCAACGCAGCAGAGAACAGCTGCATCTCTTTGCAGAGCTGAGTGACTGACTGGTGGTTTGGGACTTTATGTAAAAGTTTGAAAAGGTGTGCACATTTTCCATTCACTTTACAGTTATATAC